GGGGGCGCCGGGCCCGCAAAGCAGGCCGGCACAGACGGTCCACGCGCGGCTGGCTGGTTCGAGCGGAAAGAACCCCACCTGTTCATACAGGGGTTGGCTCACCGGGGCCGTCTCGTGGGCGAGTTTGGCCGAAGAGCCCCGCCCCCCGAGAGGGAGAGAAAGGCCGCGGGAAGCCCAATTGACGGGTACCCGCACGCGGCCCGAACGGCCCCCCTCCCCTTGCAAAAGGCCGGGGTTGGCAGCCAAAGCGCGGGGAAGACGAGGGAAATGCCCAGCAGTTGCCCGAGCAGGCCGAGGGCCGTCGGGTAGCGGACGAGGCCTTTTGGGCCGCCGGGGCGGGATTCCGGGTTCAAGAGCCCCGTGGCGGGGAGCGGGAGGCCGATGGTGAGGCCCCAAGGGAGGACCCCTGGGGGGGGGGGGGGGGGGCGGACACGTCATGGACGCGTCCCTCTTCGCCGCGGCTGGAGAGGCGGCAGACGAGGGGCCACCGGCGGGCTCGGCGGCGAGGGCGTGCAGGAACTGGGTGATGATGCAGACGAAGCCGCCGCCAAGCGCCTGGTGGAGGCGCCATCCGGCGTCATCATCCCGGCGTCATCTCTTGGCGCTGTCTCGACGCTATCTCTCGGCGCTATCTCGCGCCGGCTCGTACGGGTGGAGCTTGCTCGCGGCGAACTTGGCCGGGTCGCTGCACGCCTCGACGGCCGGGTCCATCAGCGGCTTGGAGACGACCTGCAGGGAAGGTGGCAGGAACAGTCTCGGAAAGGTCAGATGTGGCTTGCGGGTCCATCAGCTGCTTGGAGGCGGCCTGTGTCGCCGCAGAGGCTAGTCTCGGCTCACCTCGGCTCACCTCGGCTCACCTCGGCTCACCTCGGCTCACCTCGGCTCACCTCGGCTCACCCCGGCTCACCTCGGCTCACCTCGGCTCACCTCGGCTCCCTCGGCTCACCTCGGCTCACCTCGGCTCACCTCGGCTCATATTGGCCAGTCTCGGCTCATCTCGGCTCGTTTCGGGGGCGGCCTGCGTCGCTGCAAAGGCCACGACGCCAGCGAGCAAGCCGGCGAACGCGCAGCCCGCCCTCCGCAGCGCCGGGAGGGCCGACGGGCGCGGCTTGACCATCCCGGTGCGCAGCTCAAAGTGGCGGCGGCGAGCCGCCTCGTTGACGGCGCGGACCGCCGGCAGCCGGCCGATGCGGGTCAGTTCATCGTACGCGTGCGAGAGCTTCGCACCTGTGCGAAGCGGCGGCGCTTTGTGGAGAGACGCTGTGCTCACAGCTCGACCGTGCGCGCGTTGAGAGCTCGGCACCCTTGCCGACCTCTGTGAGGGGGTCGGGTGCAACCAAGCCGAAGGGGACGCGCTTGGAGAGCGCGCCGCGCAGCAGCTGCGAGAGCGTGACGAGGAGCTGCTGGTGCGGCGACATCGAATACGCGTGGAAGGCGACCTCGGTCAGCGCGTTGCCCTCCTTGACGCGCTCCTCCGAGAAGGCGGGCAGCACCGCCTGCGACGCGAGAGGAGCCGGGGGTGTCCACCACGCGCCGGGTGTCGCGCTTGGGATGTGGGGGAGAGAGACCCCCCCCCACACGCGCGCGCGTCTCCACGTCCTTGGAGCAGGCGGGCGGAAGCCGCCTGCAGGTCGTCGGCGGCCGCGTCCATCAGCGCGTCGAGCGCTGCCGCGTCGGCGAGGGCGGTGTTCATGCCCTGGCCTGCGGGCGCGTCGTGCGCGTGTCGCGGACGTGGGAGCGGCGGGGGAGGGCGATGCTCCTTGGCGGACCGATGGAGGGGGAGGTGGCGTGCGCCGCGTCGCCGAGGATGAGAAGCTGCAGCTTGAGGGAGTGGTAGAAGGAGCAGTGGACTTGGCCCGTCTGGGACCAGGGCTGGCCGACCCACACCCTCGCCACCTCGGCCCAGTCGAGCTCGAAGGGCTTGAAGGGGGCCTTGAAGTAGGCCGCGACGACCTCGGCGTCCTATGGCAACAACGACGAGGCCGATGCTGGTGGTGGTGGTGGTGGGGAGGCGGCGGCGGCGACGGAGGCGTCCTGCGAGTGCAGCGCCTCGTCGCACGGCGTGTCGAGCATGTAGCCAAAGGCGAGGTTGATCTTGCCGCCCGTCTCGGGCAGCCCGATGCCTAAAGGAGGGCTCACAGAGCCGTCAGCAGTCCGCCTGTCGCAACCGCCGCCTCGCGCTGCGGCAAGCGCCGTTGATGCCCTTGAGGCACTGCGGCAGCACGACCACCTTCTTCTCCGCCACCGCGGCCGGCAGGTGCAGGTGCAGCGACTTGAAGTTGGTGAAGATGTCGGCGACGGAGCACTCGAAGGCGCGCTCGTTTGCGACGAGCGCCGCGCGGACAGCGGAGCGGACGCCGTCCGCACCGATGAGCAGGTCATACGGCAGGTACTCCTCCTACGGGAGAGGGTTCTGAGAAGGTTCGGGGAAGGGTCGGCGATGAGCAGGTCGTACGGCGGGTCTCCTCGGCGCGGCGGGCGACGCCGCGCACAAAGATCCGCTTCTCGTCCGGGTCAACGAAGAGGACCTTGCTCTGGTAGCGAAGCGTGAGGCGGCCTGAGCGGCGGAAGTTGTCGTTCAAGTAGCGCGCGAGGGCGGCGACGATGAAGTTGCGGTCGACGACCTACGGGTCACGGCTCCGAGAGGGTCTGAGGCGAGGGGCCAGTTGGCACAACTAGTGCAGCGCGAAGCGGTCGCCTACGGGGACGGCTCCACGACGGCTCCACGGTGCCGGACGAATCCGAGAGGGCTGCGAGTCGGACGACGGACGTAGTTCTCGCCGACGTCCTCGGCGCCTGCCTCGATCATCGTCTTGCCGAGGTAGATTGCGGTGGACTCGATGGGCACGCCAACCTTTGGCAGGAGCAAACAGTGGTGAGGGAGGCGGCGGTGAGTGAGCGGCAGCAGGCGAGGCCTCAACCTGGGAGACGTAGTCCTCATACAGGCCCGGTACCGCCCGGAGGGCGGTGAGGCCGTGCGTGCTGAGGCCAATCATCCACGAGCGCTTCTTCTCGAGCCCGGCCGCGTCGAGCACGCCGTAATCCTCACCCGTCTCGACGAGAGTGACGTGGTACTCGACCTCGTCACTGCTGCGCCGGAGCAGGTTGATTGCAGCGAGGAGGCCGGCCGGCCCGGCGCCGACGACGACGGCGCGGCAAATGCGCTTCGGCTGCTGCATGGCATCGGCCGTGCTGGGCGTCTGCTTGAGAGCGTCGAGGAGGCCCATCGTGTGAGCCGTATGAACGCACCCCGTCGATCACGGGCGGCGCCTTCGAGTCGATTCGACGCCCTCCGCGACAAGGAAGTACCAGGAATGTTCCCCTTTTTTGTTTAAAAATTGCAGTTTACTACGTTTTGCTTTTCTCTTGCAGATTACTACACACCACACAATGCAAGAGCTTTTCTCTTGCAGATTACTACACACCACACAATCCACCTTGCAGATTACTACACACACAATCCACCTTGCAGATTACTACACAGACACAATCCACCTTGCAGATTACTCCCGCCCTCCGCCCTCGCCCCCGCCCCTGCCCTGGCTGGCCTGGGTGGCATCTCCCCATTATCACGCGCCAAGTGGACGGGGCCCTGAGCCGACCTAGCCCCAGACGGAACGGGGCGCCCAACACGTGCCCGGATTACTGTGCCTTCCCCGGGTGCAGCCTTTCGGTTCGTGAAGGGTCGGTGCGAGTCGTGCTTTCCTCGATCCCCCGCCCTCCCCCGCCATCTCCGCCGCTTTGGCTCTACAGCCACCACCGGGAGGCGGCGAGGCGAAATCAGACTCGGTCGAGAGACCCCAGATTGGCATCCATGCCTCTCTGGACAGGGTGGCCCGCCACAACGACCCCTGGAATTGCGACTCGCCGCTTTCCTCCCGCTGTGATTCTGTGTGAGCTCTGAGTCTTGTCTGCCAACAATATACCTAAACCTGCAAATCCGAGGTTGCAGTTACTGGTTGAACGCTGAAACTTGATTCGGGCGTCATCCTACTCGCTGGCCAATTCGGATTGTCATTGTCTGCTGTGCTCTTCTGTCTGGCCGGATTGCCTGCACGCGATGGCTGACGATCGCGCGGTGGCCTTCTGCGAGGGGGACCTCCTCGTCGTGGACGACGACAATCATCCGACCCACCATCGATCGTTGTGGCCACAGGACATAGGGCGCGTTTGCCGACGCTCAGGCAAAAGCCAAGGTAAAGATTGCAGCTCCTCCGGACTCGGCGCTGGAGTCGGTTGCGACGGCAAAGGAGTGCAAGCTCGACGCCGGCGCTGCGACTACGACCGCTGTCGTCATCACCATGCCTTCAGTAACAACTGGCTCTGACCGTTCCGACGGGACCACGAGGGCATGGTAGACGAGTCTACCGCAGTCTATCTACAGACGGGCTGACGCATGAGCGACTTGGTGAGGTTAGCAGCTTGGTGCGCGTGGGGAGGTCCCTGAAGGCTCAGGAGTGTGTGGTGTGTAGTAATCTGCAAGGTGGATTGTGTGATGTGTAGTAATCTGCAAGGTGGATTGTATGGTGTGTAGTAATCTGCAAAGAGAATTGTGTGGTGTGTAGTAATCTGCAAGGTGGATTGTGTGGTGTGTAGTAATCTGCAAAGAGAATTGTGTGGTGTGTAGTAATCTGCAAGACAATTTGACCCGCGCGTAGTAATCTGCAAGAGAAAAGCTCAAAACGTAGTAAACTGCAATTTTTCCTTTTTTGTTTACCATGAATGAAGTTGAAGAAGACATCCCTCTACTGAGGCGCCCGCCTCCCCCCACATGTGAACCCTTGTGCATGATCGCCGCGCCGGGCCGCCGCAACCACAGGCCTAGGGCCCTGCTCCGGTGGGCACCGGGACCGGGACCGGGCGCCGCCTCGATGCACCCACCCAGGAAGGACAGCTGGAGGCTCGCTTTGCGCGAGTGCGCGAGGTCCGAGGTCCGTGTCGAAGGTCCGTGGCAGCAAGAGAGCGCCCGCACGAAGCCCAGCACCACCCCTCAGCAGAGCTGGCGAGAATCCTGGCGGATTCGCGCTACAGTTTCAGAGAGTATGGAAAGTTCACGTCATGACGGTTAGCCGCTCCTGTCACGACCGTTAGCCGCTGTCACGACAGCTGGGAGCTGTCATGACAGCAAACGACAGCGACAGTGACACCTACCTGTCACCAGCTGTCACCAGCTGTCACCAGCTGTCACCAGCTGTCACCAGCTGTCACCAGCTGTCACCAGCTGTCCGTTGCTGCTGTTCGTTGCTGCTGTCGTTTCGCAGCCGCTGTGCGCTGTCACGACATATTGACCATGTCGCGACCATTAACAGCCCGTTTAACCGTCATGACGTGAACTTTCCATAGTCTCTCAATCGAAAATTCCGCGCCACGGCGGGCGAATGAAGAGACCTGGTCCGACAGCCGTCTGCGCGCTGAAATTCTAAACGGAATCGATACGTGGTACGTCTTCTGAATCGCTCGTGGAGAGGAGTACGGCCATTCTCCACTTGTGTTCGACGACGTCGTACATTGTTCGACGACTTCGAACACGATCGAGTAACCGCAGTCGGGCTCCGCTCGAGTGAGAGCCGCGGTCGCGCGGTCGCGGCCAGGCGCGGGGCTCGAGCGCGGGGCCTGGCTAGGGCTGCCGGGCGTGATCTCAACCCACGCGCCGGAGCGCGTGTAGTGCTTCAGCAGCCGGGCGGTCGCCGCAGCCACCTCGAAAAGAAAGAAAGAAAACGGACAATGCTAGGGAAAGAAAGAAAGAAAGAAAACAGACACGCCAGACGAGGGATGGGACGAGGACAGGGTCCCCACCTGCACGAGCAGGATTTTGGAAGAACGATCAGGGGGACAGGTGGGGCTCTCCTGCTCCTGACAAGGGACACGACAGGCTCGCAGCGCGGTGGACTCCCACATCCACTGGCGGTCTCATCTCAGTCTAGCGACCTGCCTCCAGCTTGTCGCTGGCAGTCTCTCCTACCACAGGCACACTGACACAGGGGTGGCAGGGGCGGCTCTAGGGAGGGATGGGAGACGCACGGATTCGTTTTCTCCTCGCACCGTGTGTGTGCCAGTCCGCGCCAGTCCGCGCCCTTGTCGTGCCAGTGTGCTGTAGGTAGGTAGGTAGAAAGGTGAAGAACAGCCAGGCTCGGACTGGACACCAACGCGGTATGGGTGGACGCTGGACAGATGATGACGACACGCACGAGCGACACACAGACACAAACAAGCTCACAATGCCGAGGCTGCCGAGGCTGCCGAGGCTGCCGAGGCTGCCGAGGCTGCCGAGGCTGCCGAGGCTGCCGAGGCTGCCGAGGCTGCCGAGGCTGCCGAGGCTGCCGAGGCTGCCGAGGCTGCCGAGGAGGCCGAGGCTGCCGAGGCTGCCGAGGAGGCCGAGGCTGCCGAGGCTGCCGAGGCTGCCGAGGCTGCCGAGGCTGCCGAGGCTGCCGAGGCTGCCGAGGCTGCCGAGGCTGCCGAGGCTGCCGAGGAGGCCGAGGAGGCCGAGGAGGCCGAGGAGGCCGAGGAGGCCGAGGAGGCCGAGGAGGCCGAGGAGGCCGAGGAGGCCGAGGAGGCCGAGGAGGCCGAGGAGGCCGAGGAGGCCGAGGAGGCCGAGGAGGCCGAGGAGGCCGAGGAGGCCGAGGAGGCCGAGGAGGCCGAGGAGGCCGAGGAGGCCGAGGAGGCCGAGGAGGCCGAGGAGGCCGAGGAGGCCGAGGAGGCCGAGGAGGCCGAGGAGGCCGAGGAGGCCCCCCCCTCCCCCCCGGCGACTCGAACCGGGAGCCAGTCGACGCACGAACGGAACGCTCGCACATCACCGGATATGTCAACTCGCAGCAGCGAGGCAGCAGCTCATATACAGTGGACTTTACTCAAAGCAGCGCAGAAGCGCTCGTGCTGTGAGAGAGGCTTGTTTTAATAAGAATTCTCCTCGCACCTTGCCGGCACCGCTCTCTCTCTGGCCGACTCATCATACACACTGTGTGTATATATGTGTATGTGGTTCATCGTCGCCACCACTAGCCTCGTCCACCCTGCGGCGCGGGCTTCGCCGCGCGTGCTGCTAGCGCGCTCAGTCGTGCCCACCATGGCGGTCGAGACGGACACTGCGTCGCCGAGCGCGACGCCGACAGTCGCCGCGGAGCGGTACGTGGCGACCAACCGTTTTCGCGTCAAAGAGGGCCGCGGGGCGGCCTTTGAGAAGCGGTGGGCCGAGCGCAAATCCCGCCTTGGCATGCTCGACGGCTTCCGCTTCTTCTGCATGCTGCGGCTCACGGGCGAGTGGGACGGCGAGGCGCCGAATTACATCTCGTGCACCGTCTGGGAGGAGGAGGCGCAGTTTGACGCGTGGAAGAAGGGCGACGCCTTCAAGGAGGCGCACGGCGGCGGCACCATCGGAGGCGTCGCCTCGATGGTGCTCGCGACGATGCAAAACACAAAGGGCAAGCCAAAGGTCGCGCTGTGGGATGGGCTGCTGCCCGTCTCGGTGGTGCCGCCGGCGCCAACGCCCGGCACCCGGCGGCGCGAGGCGGACAGAGCGGTGAGAGGACGCATCCTTCACGTCCGCCGCTGTGGACAGGCGGGTGGCGCGAGATTGAGGCCGACGGCAAGGCGATGCTGGACGGCGAGGTGTACGTCGCCATGAACCGCTTCTCGGCACCACGGCCCTCGCAGAGGAATTGGCGAAGCGTCTGCCTTTTCACGGCCCTGCGGGTGAGCAGGTGCTGCCCGGCATGGAGTCCGGCTTTGAGCAGCGCTTCGCCTCGCGCGAGAGCACGCTGGCCAGCCGCGACGGCTTCCAGGGCTTCCTGCTGCTGCGGCGTGACGGCGCGCCCGACGACGGCTTCACGCACTCCACTCTCTCGGTGTGGCGCGACAAGGCGCGCCGTTGGGGGCGGGCGGAGCGGGAGGGGGTGTGGGGGGGGTGGAAGAGCGTCGCAGGTGGTTCACGCCGTCTGCTGCAAACAGGCGGCCTTCGAAGCGTGGAGGGGATCCGAGGACCGCGCGGGGAAGCCAAAGCCGGGCGGAGGAGGAGGGGCGGGAGGAGCGGACGGCGAGGGAGGGCCGCCCAAGGGGCCGCCGCAGATGTTCGCGAAGCCCCCCGAGCCGTCGTTTTACGAGGGCATTCTCGTGCTTGAGTCGGCGCGCGGCATTTGAGAGGGGGCAGCGAGCTCTCCTGTCACGCTGTATGGCTCGATCGATGTACCGCGACCTCTGAGCTCGGTCTCGGGTGCACGCAAGAGATAGATAAAAGATAAGAGTTGGGTGACGCTGTCGCTGACGGGGTATCACTATCCGCACTAATCCCGCGCCCCGGTTTTTTCGCCAGCCTAGTGCGTTCGGTTGATTGAGGAAACCCCTCGAGTTAGCTGCTTAGTCGCGTGCGCGTATGCTCGCTGTCGTTGCAGTCTCTGGAGGCTGCGCCGCGGCTCCCGAGCGGCGCGTGACCCGTGCCAGTTTTGGTAAGGTTTTGCGCACCCTCTCAACTGACTCCCTGAGGCAGGGTGGCGCGGGTGCGGGGTGGCTCGGCAGCTCGGCGGGAGGCCTCCGACCCGGCTACCTTGTGCTGTTGAAGTTGCTGTTGGAGACGCCGATGACGATGGCGCTGTCCTCGCGGCTGGCCAGCGTCCGGGCTCGCTGGCGCGCCGCCCGGGATAGCACTGACAGTTTGCCGGCGCAGCGGGCGCATTCGAATGCGCCCGCCGCGCCGGCAGACTGTTGGACGGCCACAGTCGCGAAAGTGGGGTGAAATCCGTGCGGCGCAGTGGCAGCGGTGGCCAGGCGGCCCCTCTCGGGGCCGCGTTGCGCAGGCGCGCCGCGCCATGAGCGGCGACCGTGGTGAGAACGCGATGTGCCACTTGCTCTCACTTAGCAGCTAACTATGATAGAACAAGTTTGAAAACCTCAGCGAAAAAACCGGGGGTCGGGATTAGTGCGAGTCGCCTCAAAAATGCTCAGAGGCTGACATCGATTGACGAGTGATGACTGATGTGTGTGTGGCGCGCGGCTCTTGCGGGCGCGCCGCGCGGGCTCTCCACATGCAGGTGGACCGCGCACATGCGGATGCCCCCACCTCCTTAGTGAGGACCCTAATCCCTAAACCGCGCTAGCGCTAGGTGTAGGCTAGCCCAATCGACTACTCGTAAGTCGTATCCGTGCTCAGCTTATGCGTGAAAAGGTCACATTGGGCTAAACCCCACCTGGCTTCCTCCCGCTAAAATATCGCCGGAGTTATCTTGCACCTCGAAGCGCAGAAAGGCTTCCAACCTCCTCTCCCATCTGGCGCTTGCGTGGGCAGCGTGGGCGCGGCATCCGTGACGGATGCGGGCCCTTCTCTCGCGGGATCGCTGGGAGCCGCTCGGCTCCCCACGCGCCGCCGAGCTGCAATGGCGCCACCGCAACGGCTGCCCCTCCTCGGCTCCCGCCCCGGGGCTGCCGAAATAGGTGCCCCGAGCCACCGTTTGCAACATCCGCGCGGAACGGCGGTGCTGCCGACGCCCCCCCGACCGGCAAACACCACCAGAAGGGCGGTGGTGATCGCTCCCGGTCAGAAATGTCGTCGTCGTCGCGCAGTTCCCTAGTGTCCGCTTGGCGCCCGGCGGGTGCTGGCGGCCAAAACTCCGGATTTTATATTACCCAAAAGCTAGGCTACACAACGCCGGATTTTCGTCTCCCGACGCGAAGATATGGTCCCGAGTCTCACTACTCGCCCCTAAATCCTGTAGGTCCGGACCTTGCCTGCTCAGTAGCCGCGATGAATCGTCGCCCTCATCGTCTGCGGTCATCCTTTCAGCCTCAAACGGGCCAAACGACTGTCTCGCCATCACCCATCTCGCCTCTCGCGGTCGCGTCACGCCTTCCCTCGTGCCGCGAGTAGGCGCGTGAGTGATGGCCCTGCCGCCAGGTACACGGCTACACCTCGGGACGCCGTGCTGAGACGGGTAGAGCCGCCCCGCGGGAGCGAAAGCCGCCTCGCGCGCCTCAGCCCGCCGGGCCCCTCGGCGGCCAGTGTGGGGTTGATACGGCGGTGATAAACCCCTCTGACAGCAGCGCCTCACGGCGTAGGCTGCGAGGTCACTCGGGGTGACCCAGGGGGCGGCGGGGGAGCAATCTCCCGCCGGAGCAGCGGGTGATATTCCCGCTACTCGCTCGAGTTTGAGGTGCGCCGCGCCTCGCCTGTGCTGCCTTCCCGGCTGCCCCAGCCGCCCTCACCGTCCTCATCCCCTCCCCCACCCCCTCCCCCTCAGGCTAGGCCCTCGCCACCGCCGCTGCCGCTGTCTCCGCCACAGCCGCCGCCGTTTCCCTCCCCCCCACTGCCTCCGACGCCGTCGCCTCCGCTGCTCCCGCCACCACCGCCGGCCGCCTCAGCTCTCCCTCGCCCACCTCCCACAC